TTTTGATGAGATCCATGTTACATGATTTTTGTTAATAATAAGTGAATTAATATCACCTGTTGGTTGTACTGCACAAAAATTTGGTTTAGTATGCCACTTTTTTGGTAATATATCACTGTAGGGAGCGATTTTTTTAGGAGAAACATTGAAAAATCTTAGATATGGTATATAATCAGCAATGATATCTTTGACTGCTTTAGTGTCATGAGATGACCAATTATTTGGATCATTTGCAAGTCCAGGAACCTGTTCAACAGCCCATTGTATTACTGTCATCCAAACATCATCTCCACCAGTACTAACACTAAGGTCATCCCTCTTGAGAATCCTAATCAAAGTTTCCTTTGATACATTTACAACACCATTTAATTCAAAGAAAATATCTGGGTGTGAAACAATAGTTTGATTACAGTAGTCCAGAAGTCTGTTCAAAGAGACTGTAGATAAAGCACACTTATGAATAGCAGCAATATTCTGTTGAATCCATTCCTTCTGTTTACTGATCAGATAATCTCCAATTGCAATAAGAAGATCATCTAGTCCAAACTTCATAGCACCATCCAGAAGGCTAGTCCAATTTGTGTTCTTGTATAAATCATAGGATAGTTTCCCAGTGTAAATAAACCTAACAAATTGACAAGTTTATCTGACTATGAGTATTGAATTATGCATCTTCTAAGCAAATATACTATCAATTACAAAGTTTACCTAAGCAAAATTTCAAACACATCAGGTGACATATCTTCAAGCATTATGGCAGTGTTTTGGTTATCAAGAAATGTACTTCTTGTGCATAATATCAATGTATGTGCAAGAAATATTTTGCTATTTGGCTCCTTGCCAACATAAATTGAAATATCTGTATGTTCGCCACTTTTATAAAGCTTTTCATAGTCAGATGAAAGAGACGGGGACAAATCGATTATATTATTCATTTCATACAACTTTTGAATGATGGTTAAAATCGATATGCTTTCTCTTGCAATTGTGCCGTATTTAGTATTTGGATTCCCTTATTATTATTGGTATTTAAAAACTGCGCCTAATAAAGGACACACAAAATTATTGGTGTTTAAAAATTACGTAGTCACACGAAATTTAGCCAACAGAGTAATACAGAATGATGATCATGCATACTGTATATTGAAACAACTACACGTTGGTTATACTGTAAAAACAATCTTTGTCCAGAGCTAAAAGTTCGGCTTTTTACTCATAAAAATAGTTCAATAAGAGTTTCTAATTCTTGTTCTCAAATAAATTGAAATCCAACCGTAAATCGATGATCGAACCTTAATATACGCATAACAAACGTTATTGATAAAACTTTGTTAGATTGCGCAAGCGATCTAATATTATAACTGATTTAGTCGAACGAAAGGATAATAAATGCATTACTTAAATAGTCTTAAAGTTTTGGAGCGTCTATTTGGAAAAACGAGCAAATTTCTATTCAATGTAACATTGGTAATATTATAAACAAAAACCCAACGCTTGCACGTCAAATTTTCATGTTTCAAGAACAGTCTATAACAATTTTTTTTCACGGTCACATTAATAAAGTTTATATGGTATTGTAAGATAAATTTACTAGTGTATGATTCATTAATTACGGTCTAAAACTTTACCAGACAACTCTCATTGTAAGAATTATTTCGGTTCATGATGGCACTACCCGGCATCGATCGTGCCATTATCAATATTGTTATTACGTAATTACAGTAATCGCAGTAAAGACAATAATCTACTTACACCCAATATTTGTCACCAGTTTAATTGAAAAGTGGCAGCAAAAATATTAGCTATAGATAATAAACAAGTTTTCTTTTCATATTATCGTATTATCTTGCCTATACCTCAAACATCTCATAATTGTTTCTCGGTCTAGGTAAGACGTGTCTTTGTTCACCTCTGACAAAATCGCAAACATAACAGTAAAGTGAAGTGTTGATGCATCTGGACGTTCGTCAGGAGTTTTGCGTTCCTTTATTAGTTGGACGTTTGTCAGGATCAGCACCACCCACTTGGCCAATTTTTTATATTCCTCCGGTGTTGAATCAGGCATCGGTGGTCAGAGTTCCTCGCATAACAAGTTTTTATCAAATTATTTATCTCTCCAAGATAATAGACAATAGTATGCATTAGGCGCGCGGTTCCAATAAACGCAACATGAATACTAATACGTTCGGCTTGACGATCAACGTTAGTAACAATGCCTATAAACTGGTGGAGCAGTCGGATTATGTTGATGTCGTTGATGTAAGCATGAAGCTAGAGAATAATAGGCAGATAAGTAAGGATTATTTTCTTGTAACCATGCACTAGCATAGCGTAATGATGGATGATACCAACGATTGTTCGGTTCGGATAAATCTGTATGTTGCAGAAATGCACCAAGCATGCCAGAATAAAGAGTCAATTCCCTGCGGTTTATCTACCCGAAATGCAAAAAAAAGGAGGAAAGGTATACATAAGGGTACATTATTAATTTTCTTGGGGAATTCGAGCAAGACGTGGAAATTACTGTCTCGTTGATAATACTTTGCAATTGTAATGGATATAATTGGGAATAGAGCGTACGTTGACAGATCTTCCTGGACAACTTATTGAATATAAAAGTTATGAAGGAAGACAAGGGAATTGGTTGTAGCGGTCATCGAATAATTGAAAAAGTTTTTTTAAAGCCAGCGAGAAGGTTTCCACACGGGAATAGTACAAATAGGCAATTGTGATGAATATTGTCTGAGAGAGCTGCGAATTGAGGATAGATATTTATGGTTGGGGTAAAAAAGGTGATCTAAATTAGATAAACTATCAAATTCGTCATAATCAGCATGTGAGTATACGTATATCCAGTATTGTCGAAGCAGATTCTTTAGTGTGTAAACGTAAAATATAGCTTCATATTCATATGTTGTGTAGCTCTGGTAAATACTTCTGGTTAGCAAATTGTATTAATTCACACACATTTTTAGATTCATGGGAATATTATTTCTGGTGGGAGGATGTAAATTCTGCGTAGTAAGATAACGTGAGGCTTTTTTAGATACTTTTAATTGAGGTGGAACATGGGTTGTGTTACGTAACATGTATTGAACTTGAAGTAATCATTGTTTAGCGCGGGATGCAAGTTTGATTAAGTTTGCGTGCGATAGTTAAGAGCTTTTGATTCAAACAAAGAAACATACTCTGTATTATACACGATATGCGTTATGGAAATGAATTCCTGGTGGTTGAACGTAAAAGCATGAATTTAGAAACGCATAGTGTAAGTTATTTGCCACACGTTATTATAACGTTATAAACGCATGGGTTTATAAATTGTTTTACGTGAAACACTACCAGCTAGTCTAATTATGAAGTTTTATCGATCTTGCCAGATATAGTAAGGCGGGACGCGATAAGCAATAAGTATAGTATCAAAATTCAGCAAGTCCGTTTTATAGCGATAACATAACATTTACAAAAAAAGGGTTTGCAAGACATTATCTATAGTTGTTCGTATTTCCTTTTAAAAAGATATAACCTACAGTCTGGTAACAATAAGCGTCTGACATTGATTGTTCTTATTATTCTATTTAGCCCTTATAACTGTACATTGATATTCATAAGTCATACCAGTCTCATCACTATTAAAACCGTGTTAGATCTTATTCTCCTATTATTTATTCGCAAAGGGGGGCACTTCGACCTTCCCATTAAAGTTTGATTATCAAGTAATCTACGTAAATAACGCGCGGCTTCTACTTGCGGATATAATGGTCTGCGACTATTCATTCTATCGAACTCGTTACAGCCAACAACTTTTTATTTTTCCAGATATCAGAAATTTTAACCCCCATTCTGAAAAGGTTGGGCTTATTAGAGAGTTTCGCTCACACACACCCCATTTTCTGGCGCGAAGGTCAAGCGTGTTCATAAACGGTTTTTCGTGTTTTCACAGGCAGTTTGTTTATTGACACTCAAAATTTTCACACACAAAAGTATCAGTATAAAATGTATTGTTACAATAGTTGGTACATCAAATAACCAGGTTTACGTGTAGTAGTTAAAATCGGCGTTATATCCTAAATTTGTTCCTTTGCCGAGTTACTGAAAATAACGGGATGAATGTTAATACTAGTCCTGGCATCGCGTAATAATGTTAGGACGCATTAAATATATTTATTCCTAATTAAGTATTCTCTGGCTAGAAATTTGTAATACATCTTGAATTATTTACACACCATTTTCATTTTATTTAAGCTTGCGGAATACACTAATAAGCAGTTATTCATTAATAGTACACATCAGACTTTAACCGATATTCATATTTTCATCCACTCACTATTCTCAATAATTAAGCACACCACTCAGTAATCCACTTTCTAGCCTCTTGGATCATCTTCTCAATAGCGCTAGAATCATACCCACTCAACTCATCTAACGCAGTCTGCGCTTTTTCACAACACAATTCCCACTCTTCCTTGAAATCTTTCATCACAATCTCAAGATAAGCCAAAGCAATACAAGTAGACCAGACAGAATCTTGATCCTTGTTTCGGAATAAAGTCGTGTCTTTTCCCTGTGAAAAGAATCCTGACAATTCTGCAGTTGGCTTGAAAAATCCATCAAAAGATTGGAATCTGATAAATCCATAAAGGGTTTCGATTTCTGCCAATTTTGGATTAACTCCAACCGATTTATTCGTAGGGACGGTTGATGTACGTGCAAAAAACTGGTTCATAACTTTGGGTGCACTTGAACCGCCGAGAGCGTTATAAGTAATTTGCGAAGTAGGCGCAGCATCCAAAAAGACTTCACGAGGATGCTTATTGTATCTTTCAGCACCAAATAAAGAAAAAGGTAGCGCTTGAAATTGTTGCTGTTGCTGTTGCTGTTGCTGTTGCTGTTGCGATTGCTGTTGCTGTTGCTGTTGCGGTTGCGGTTGCATGGGAGGAGGAGGAAATACCTTACGATCGCTAATCATTTGCTGTTGTTGCTGTTGCGGTTGCAGTTGCATGGGAGAAGGAAATGCACAAAACGGTCGCATCTGTTGTTGTTGGATGGGGGGAGGAAGTGCACTATGATTGCTAAGCGTTATTACTTGCCGTGCTTGCTGCGTTTGTCGATTCTGAGAAATTGCAGAGCCAAAGCCAGTTGCAGCTGCAGAGCCAAAGCCAGTTGCAGCTGCTGAGCCAAAGCCAGTTGCAGCTGCTGAGCCAAAGCCAGTTGCAGCTGCTGAGCCAAAGCCAGTTGCAGCTGCTGAGCCAAAGCCAGTTGCTGAGCCAAAGGCCCCAAAAAGCGTAGGCGTAGGAGCCCCAAAAGGTGCAGAACTTCGTCGCGATAAGGAACTTACGCCAAAGTGGGGTCTTGCCTGCACAGGGACAATGCGCTTCTGAACTACTTCAGCCGTTGAGAGAGTTTGATCTCGTTCATCGATCGCCAGAAAACTAAACAGATAGAAAATTATTTATATATATTCGAGCAACTTCCCTCTAAACCCCATTCTTCTTTAGACTATTACCTTGTATATTTTGAAGCCAAGTTAGCATCAATCGCAAGCTTAACAATTGCATTTTTTGTATCTTCAGTAGATATTTCTTTTCCCTCATTTTTCGGATCATTATGCAGATAGCTTCTCTTATCTTCAAGATCCTGTATTAGTTTCCTGGCAGCCAGAATATGGATCTTGTTACCATCGAGAATAATTGGATCAATCGGCACGGTAACTTCTACAGGTCCACTGCGAGATTTCATTGTAATAGTAATATTCCGTGCAGGTTCAAAGTCTGGTGCAAAAAGCGCGTACACGATACAGCGAACACCTTGATATATCGGTGGAATTACGTATGGTGCTTGACGGTACTTTACAATACCCGACTCACTACTCTCGGTGTCAACCCAAGAAATTTTGTAATCAGTCAGTGGCGGCCTGATAGCGTTTTTGACCATTCCAGCAACCTTTTTGTCCATCCTCTCCTCATTGCTGACGAACTGGGCATAACCCCTTCCGGCCCTCGCAACAGATTCGACTAAATGATGACTGACAGAGCTTCCAATGCCTAACGAAAACAATCTCAAACTGTCCTTCTCTTCCTTCACTTTATTCTCGACCAACTGAGTAATATCATCTACGTTCCAGACCTCACCATCAGTCAATAAAAACACAGCAGTTGGCAGTTCTTTGCTCTTATTTTCCAAAACCCATTTTAGAACCGATAAGAGTTCAGTACCACCAAAGTTAGCCTCCATCGTTTGCGCAAGTTGAATGGCGGTGTTATAAGAAGTCTCTGAGTAAGGAACAGATTTTTCAAACAAGGCCGAGTGAGACGAGCCAAATGAGATCACGTTGAAGAAACAGTTTGATGGCAGAGAGCGAAGTATTAATTCGAGCGTCTGTCGAGCCTTAATTATCGGGCCGCCACCCATCGAACCGGATCTGAAACAAAATAAAAGTCAATAATGTGTATATGGCACGCAACAGAAACGTGAATACGAAACCTAAATAATTCACCTGTCCACAACGAAAATCATTTCTGTCTGCACCGGCTTAAGCTCAAACGTGGGGACAAGAGTCAACATTGTACAATTTGTCTTGGTCTTTGAATCGTATTCTGTAAATGCTCTATAACGCAAATAGATAAATATATCAATTTCGCCAAATACTCATTATGCTTTCCACAGACCATTACCGAGTTCTCTGACCAGTCCCCCTCGCACATCTTCCACCACGATTTGACCCATACCTAGATTTATCCAAATCCTCGCTCTTTACAATGAGCACAAAGTCCTTTTCCAAGTAAGTCCTGTCTTCTGCAAGTCCAACTCTGCAAGTCTTTGGATCTCCATTCAAATTAATCTCGGTTTTAATCTTGTGTGTGGGTGACTCGACACTCAACAAACTCGCCGTCATACGACATGTAACATTCACGTCCAATGTATATTGTGTTTCGCTCGAATACGTCGGATTACCCTTGAGCAGCTTCGTCGACGACGAGTCCTTCTGCGGCTCACCATAGCGAGGTGCAACAGCGGTAGGCAGGACAAAGCGAACTTTGTCGGAATCAGAATCTTGTTTAAGTTCGGTTACATAAGTTATGCGAATTTTGACGGTCTGATTTGGCGTAATGTTGCCAACTGTGCATTGGAAAACGTCCGGAAGTTCTTGTTCAAGAAGGTACGCGCCAAGACCACTCTTATAAAAAAAGTAGTTTCAGTAAATTAAACTAAGTAGCAACTTGGTGGTCAGTAAGCTATCCATTTGATACAAACCTGAACAGCTGCATCGTACTCCTTGACAGCCTGCTGAGCTTCTTTGACAACACCCTTGACTGTGCGATTACCGTCGATTTCAGCCTCAAATTCGCAGATTGCGGCAGCTTCATGTATTGGAAATTTGTAGATTGCTTCAATCGTCGATGATTCCTCATTCTTGTAAGTTTGACTTATGGTGACTTTGGGAATGAATTGCAAAAAGCAAGAAAAAACGATAAGCATATACTGTGAATTCTTGATTAATTGACATAAATTTCAATGGATTTTTTTTACCTTCAGCAATCATGTCAACGACTGCAGAAATCAATTTACATGTTAGCTACGTCGAAAGTCCATAATAACAATATTTTCACGTCTTTACTCTTTTGTAATTACCATTTGCCTCAACCTTAACGTTCTGTAAAGGAACGGGTCTTGCAGTGTTAAATCCAGGAACAAGATAGGTCAGTCCATAGTAGAATGCCATTTTTGTTGTATGAAATATCTATGCTTTGGAAAGAAAGTGTTTGTTTTCATTGCCGCAGCAAAAGCACAGCGGCTCTTTATATTCACTGTTTGTAGAAGTAGTTAGTATCAATGAACACGGATTCTGGAAATCTGATAGTTTATTTTTGCACACACGTGATTATGCATGTTTCACTAACAATTTATTGAATAGCACAAAAACCCCTTCAACGAAAGAGCTTTGTTAGCTTGTATATCACACATAGCATACTATCGCTGCTTGTCGTGTTTGCCTTACTGTTATCAGTATTTATGTTCCATTTTTGAAGCGAATAACAAGCGCTTTTTATTATCGATGTATGTCGTTAGGTTTCTGATTTCGGAAATTATCGATGTAAAGTCAAGTAAAATTGACGTCCCATTTACGGCAAATGAACAATAATAATACTTTGTTTCTTGGAAGCAGTCAAGCAGTATGGCAACATTTCACGAGCAAGTTTGCTAGAATATACTCACTTTCGCAGGAGTAAAATATGTAATCGAGATTATTTTTCAGTAGTAAACTTCTTTATGCTTTCAGAATGTGATTATGATGGGCGGTTGGATTTAAATATAACTTAAACTTGGCAGTTATTTTCAAAAAACTATTTATTTATAACTTATTAAATGTCAGGTAATGGTTAAAAGCTACACACCCACCTAAGTCGCCAAGGTTCAATCTGCGGGTACGAGCAAAGCGCTCAAACTTGCGCTTTGAATAATGAACTTGCCATGCGCACACAATTTAATGCTCCACAAAATTTCGACAGAAGTGTTAATGAGTTAGACTTTATGTAATAGTATATTATTTTAATAAATAGTTATGTCTAACAGTCAGTGCAAATTCAAAATTGAAGTTACAAAGGAAATATAAACACATTTGCAAACATGCTGCGTATGTCTACTTTATACAAGTATATCTATGGCTTTACTTCAAATAGTGTTGGTTCAAAACATCATTGTTGACCACTGGTAAATGTAAACGTACAATATAAGTTATCGAACTTATATACAAGATGACAAAACAAAGCAATAGTTTAAATTTGTTGGTGGAGAAGACGAAATCTTTAATATTTATGAAATACTAATTGATTTTTCTATGAAATTGATTCTTGTACAGATACTCATTTTGTTTTTGTGGCATATGTGATTGTCTATCCGTTTATGTTAGTAAGAAGAGTTACGAAACTTGTAGAAACTGCTGCTGCTACGATTAAAAGCGTAAAAAGCATAGAATATGCGTTGAATTCAATTAATTTAAGATGAAACAAACAAAGTAGTTTATAAAAACGGGTTTCGTAATTTCGCTAGCCAAACGAGACTTATTATAGCACACTCTTAACCATAGGCGTATGAAAAGAAAGCCAATTGCTCGAATAAATGAATAATCGCGTGTAATACTGTAATAATGTCTTTTTTACGTTTGTCAATAGCGAGCTGTAAATCGACATCATTTACGTCCATCAAATTACTCCACGACTGAAACGGACTTATCGTCCGTAGTCCAATCAAAAATTCTTGCGCTTTATCGATGCTGCTTCAATTCCAGACAAGGTTATGTTCTTGCGGCTCAGAATAAGCATGCCAGGCCAGAATCCAATCTCGTTTTGTTCACTGTAAAATCCGATGGTAACGAAACCCTCAATTAAAATACATAACGTGGTTAATTACGTCTTGGTGACTAATGATTGGTTCATATGAAGCAAATGTATCACGTCATACAATGAAATACAGCAGCGAATATAGCGAATATCCAGCAAACGGAATGTACTAGTAGTCAGATTAATATAAACTTTTGTATTTGCTATGGACAATGAGTATTTGCCGCCAACAGACAGCTGGGTAAGCTTGGTTATCATCCTTTCAAGACAATTTCCGCATGAATAACTTTTATTGCTGGCAAATTCTCACAATGAAACTTACAACTCACTTTAATGTTAACATTGTTAGGAAATTGGACAACAGTCATCCTCAAATACCAAAAACAAAGGGAAAGAGAAGCAGCTTGATAATGCAAAGACTGAACATGTGTTTGAGAGAGACCTTATTGTCTTTGAAAGTGATGGTGATGATAATGATGATGATGACTATGAAGATTATAGACAACTGGCAAATCTCAGCAAGGTTGAATTAAATGAACAACTATCTACAATTTTGGAATCAATTGTCAACAGTAATGACAGAATTTGTCATCTTATTAAATTATCCAATTTGTTGCTATTATTTGGTAATAGGTTAGAGGGTAATCAATTGAGAAATGTTTTGAAAACAATTGGAATTAATGTTGCATATGATGACTATGAAGTGACTGCTGATATTGAATTGGAACTGCATCTTAGAACGTATGTATTAGCTTTAGAAACATATGGCAGGCGACTTGTTAAGATGGACAAGGAATTAATTGAAATTTTACATAAGAATCTTACAAAGTTGTATGACTTTCATCAATGTTATACACAAGTCATAAAAAAAGGCTTACAAAGTCCAAAGATTTTGTCTGCCATTTTGGAGGAAAGTGTTAAAGTTCAAAATTATAACAATGATTTTTTACTTATGCATCTTTATAATACTCTTTATGCAATGGATGATGATAAGGCTGCTTGGATTGACATTGTAAACCAACTAAAGGCTTTTTTTGCTGCACTAGTTGAGGTTTTACCTGGTATGACTGGTGCTATGACAACTGTTGAAACCCCAATTGATAACAAAGCCACTATTGAAATATATAATAATATCCAGAAGACTTTACAATCTAAGTTTTCTGTGGGACATTGGTACAAGGAATGGAGGTACTTATATACAATTTACCAAGCATTTGTTGAATGGTCAGCTGCTCCAATTCATAGAAATTTGGTAGCTAAAGGGGAGTTGATACTTATTAAGGATCTGTGGAGATTTGGAGACCAAGAGTGGAATAAAGCAGTTTCAGCAAAATCAGAAACAAATGGATATAGATCTAAATTAAAAATCATGTCAGATCATATCTCAGAATCAGTTCCAAACTCATTATTATTTGGTATATTGGATATTGCTCAAAGTCTGATAATATCTACAAAAAATACTAATACTTTGGCTCATTGTTACTATCTTGCAAAACTATCTCTGGACATAGTGAAGATGGAATTTATTCAATTTAAAGCAATGGAAGTTCT